ATAGCAAATGACAATGCATTTAAATTTTTGAAGATTAATTTGACTGAAAATCAAGAAGCCAGAAGAGAGTTCCACAAGCAACAAGTGTTAGAAAAAGAAACAGTTAGCATAGAACTTATGGTTACATCTAGCCAACTAAGCTGTAAATTGATAAAATTATTTGTTTTTGCATACGTGGCATATCTAATTCTAACATCACATAATTTATTTCTTTTTCCTTAAAATCAATCCTGTTATATTTCACTCACCATTAGCTTATTTTGTTTACTATAAAACATTGAAAATAAATATGGTTTCAGTTCTTTTATTTTGATCTAAATATAACATCTCATATCCGGACTTTGTAACCAATTCCTCATATTCAGAAGGCCTTCTTAGTTTGGGTGTCAAGGATTCTGCTGTAATATAATCAAAGAATAGCGAAAAGAATTCTTTGAAAAAAATTTAATACTTATTCATTTATTAAAAAACTAACACTGTACCATAACTACTTCACACACACACACACACACACACACACATATATATATATATATATATATATATATATATATATATATATATATATATGTACTGTGGCACACTTAAGAGGATGATGCAGTACACGTGTGTTTTGGCATGGTGATTGAGAATCACTGTTAAAATGGATCAAGGTAGAAAGTCTTTTTTGTGGGCAAAGGAGGGCGCTGGGGAGATGGGATAGTTGGTTGTATACAGGTGTGGCATTAAAGCTTATGAGGCCACTGGTGAACTGCTCATGTACTGACTTGAGTGTCATCAAGCAGGTCCTTTTAAGCAGTCAGGGTGGTTACAGGTTTCAGCATTTTTCGTTATACTTTTACTTTAGTGGCAACGTTCGTGATTGGCTCCAACATTTAAATTTTATTTTATATTTTTTTGTGGGGTGGGGATTTGTTTTGTGAGCTGGAGGCAATGCTAAGGACCCCTGCACATATAACAAATGCTGAATTCCATGATAGAGAAAAAAGTAGCTATTTTTTTTATCCCTCTCAGTTACCTAAACACAGTATATTTAATCTCCATTTTGCCTGTACAAGTGAATATTTTTTCATTATTTATAATCCTTATTTAGTTTTATTTGATTTACTGAGAACAATGAAAATATTTCAATTGACAATTTTTTTTTTATTAAATGACATTTACACATTTTTCTTTCCCCAAAACTTTTTGACGGCAGTAAATCTTTGACTGATCACTGGAAGAAGATGCTAAAGCTTTAATTTTCAACATCTAAAGTCATTTGCTTATAGTGGGTTATCAGTTATAGTGAAGTGTATGAGTGTTGAAACAGACTGGTTTGAAAATAACGTGTTTTATTAAATTATGCTTGCACCAACTATCCACACCGAAAATTAATCTTTGATTTGTATTGAATTATTTTTAGTAAGGTTCGGAACGAATTTTCAGTGTGTTCACATTCCAGATTACATATAATTGTTTTATTTACTTAAATAACATCTTCACGATTTCTTTCTTTATAAAATGTAAAAAGAAAAATAAATTCGCGAACACCCTCCAAATTAAAAAAAAGTCATACCAGATATTATAGTGGGTTATCAGTTATAGTGAAGTGTATGAGTGTTGAAACAGATTAGTTTGATTTGGCCTTGTTAGTTAGATAGCCCACCATAAGAGGGGTATAAATTGTAAAGTGAAACAACAAATTTATATACATATAAATCAATTAAGGTCTCTACCAATAAAATTAATGTATTTTGGTTGATATAAGGTCGTCAAAATGTTCGTAGTAGTCCTTGCAAGAATGAGTTTATGTGTACGTAGTCAGGAACGTATGTGTGGATATATGTATGTATCTATGTATGAGCGTTATTGTAGGGTAAGAATGTCTTTGAAGTAATCGCTCAGTCTTAAAATATTCTGTTCATTTATCAAGTATAAAAGAGGTGAGGGAGAAAGGTAGAGATAATAATAATGATCACTTGACGTTTGTCAAGGGACATGTTAATACACTTGTCTCCTTCCCTCTGGTGACAGGTGGACTTGCCCGTCTTTAATTTTGTTTGTGGGGCTTGAAAAGGTCATTTGGGAATTCCCTCCCGGATATGATTCAGGCCTTTCCACAGTGGATTAAATGAAAAACGTTTGTTGCAGGCTGGTGTACACATTGAGAAATAAACATATGTGTCTTCTGAAATGCCCACAACAAACATAGCAGACTCGGAGTATGAGTCCACCTAAAAAAATATAAAGAAACAACAAGGACCAATATATGTGTACAAACAAATAATAATGTGTTAACAATAAAAGGTTATATATACAATAGAATATGGTTGTGTGTTAATGAACATGAGTGAAGAAAACATCTAAGCTAATGAATTGTTTGCGTATGTGTCGTTTGGTGTAAGAGAAAGTCAATGAAAAAAATGAAGTGAAAGGTGTGTACATATGTGTATGTGTGTATTGTTCAAGTGTGTCCCAAAAAAAGAAACATGTTATAATCGTGTTCTTCTGTAAGAAATTTACATTTTGGTGTCTATGCAGAAAAATGAGAAAAAGTGGGCGAGAAATGATATCACTGAGTATTTATAGACTGGAAAGCATCTCCTAGTAGCAGTTTCGAAAATTAGGAGGAGGTAACCCAACACGTTGTTCTCCTCCATGACAATGCAAGGTCACATACAGAAAAATTACCACAGGAAAAACTTTTGGAATTTAGTTAGTCTTTTCTGATAACCATTAGCCATATTCACCTGACCTTGCACCTGCGGATTATTGCCTTTTTCTGGTTCTTACAAAACACTTTGACAGGGAAAACTTTCTCTCATGTAATATTCTTGAATCTTGTTTGATTCAAGAATATTTTCACATTAAAGTAAATAGTATACATATAATTGAATAAAATGAAAGTGAAATTTATTTTTTGAAGAATAAAGATGACAAACAAAAAACGGAAATTATTTATGAATCAAGCTAATACACTGGTAGAAAATACAATTTTTGTTTTTTAATTATTTCACCCCAAGCAAGGCAATAAAGCCACTAAGATGCAAGGAGTTACTAGAGTATGAGAGAATATGAAAAAAAAAACACACTATTAGTGAGAACAATAAATAAAAGAATAGGAATTAAGAAGTCAGAAGATAACGATTGACATTGCATTTAAATTTTTGAAGATCAAACATGATTGGAAAGCAAGAGAGTAGCCCAAATGAGGAGCATGAAACAAGAAGTTAGCATAGAACTTAGGTTTACATCTAACCATTTCAACTCTAAAATGATGAGACCTAACTGCCAATCAAGTACTGTGCTTAAATTCATAAAATTCCAGTATTAAAGAGGAAAGAACATCAGAATATTTACCCTGAATATATTAATAGAAAAGGGACAGAGAAGCTACATGACAGCGATGGGAAGTGACTGAAGCTGAGATGCCAGGTCAGAAACAATAATATTGCTGATTCTTTTTGGGATTTTATGAAGAATCTCTAAATATATATTGTAAGAAACAGAACACAAATTTACCAATAATGACCTAGCAATCAAAGCACTTTCTATACCTTCTGCCTAACATTTTTCTGATGTATAGATATTTATATGTCATATTCTCCCATATATATAAATATACATTAATCATGTCATTCAGTCCAAGCAAGACAATAAAGTCACTAAGATATGAGAGCTTAAAGAATATGAGAAAAAATATACTATTAAGGAGAAAGGACAATAAAAGAGCAAGAATTATAAAGAGAGAAGATAATGATTGACATTGCATTTAAATTTTTGAAAATCAAAGTTAATTGGAAAGCAAGAAGGTGGAAGAGAGTTCCACAAGCGAGAAGTGCAAGAAAAGAAACTGTTGTTAGCATAGAACTTACAGTTACATCTAGACATTTCTAATAAATAAATAAAACTGTACAAAACTTTTTGAAAAATTAATTACCCCCACCCATCCCCGTCCAAGCTTCCTGTATTGGATACTTCAGACATGCAAAAACTAAAAAGAGGTTTTCTACCTCAAGAAACTATTCAGAATGGTTTTTAATGCAAGAAGACACCGTACTCATGTGATATGGCACAGGATTGCATTTTATTTTTTTATACTTCCCCATTTCGAAATTGGGTGTTTTTTCAGTTGTTGTCATAGACATCAGGATGTACCTCTGACCCTGACCTTCTTTAATCATGATGCAATAGAAAGGTACTCTTTGGTGAAAGATCCCCGGACATTCATGACCAGGCAGTTGCCAAAATTACCATAATTCCTCATGTATAATACGCATTTTTTAAAAAAAAAAAAAATAAGCAAAATTAGGGGTGCGTATTATGCACAATTAAGAAATTTTTTTTAAGAAATTGGTTGATTTCAGTTGCGAAATTACTACTCACCACAAACATACAATTATAATTTGACACTAACAGTCAGTGATTGCGACCCCATAAGTATGTACCTCTAACAATACTTACAAATGTAAAATAAAATAAGAATTATCATAAAAGTAAAACTAAATTAGAATAATATTATTCTATGTTTAAAACCATTTTTTTTTTAAATAAAAGTAGGAAACGTTGGCCGTAATGAAATTGGAGAGGTACAATAGGGTTTGATTTCCAAACAAGGGGTGCGTATTATGCATGAGTAGAAGCATTTTCCCACACGTTCAGCACAATTTTAGGGGTGCGTATGGATTATGGCGTATTATGTGGAATTACGGTAATTGAACCCTGGAACACCAGAAAAAAAAAAAAAAAAAAGATTAAAAACTAAAAACAAAACTCAAGAAAGCAAAATCCGGGTGTCGTCTCAAATTCGCATTTTGATTGGCTGCTTTTAAGAAGCAACTTATTTTTATTTCCTGAAAGAAATAACAAGAGAAAGAGGAGTGGGTGGTTTTATTCTTTTCATCAACTGATGAGCTTCGCCGTTCATAAAGTAGTAGATGTTTTTATCACGACTACTTCGATCGACAACCACTGCTTCAACCAACTCAGTGACAGTTGTGACGAGCATAAAAGAAATAATGTCTACAAGTTCTAGTTGTAAAGACGACGACGCTAATCATGATGATTCTTCTCTTCGGGTCAAGGATTCGTTGTCGAATGATAAAGAAAAAAGACCAGTCGAACAACAGGTGTCGTCTATACATGCTGCTCATGTAACTGATGTTTACCAAGTACCCTTTAATGTTATAATACGTCCTATTCCATCAGTATTGGATGAAACCAAAGTGGAATCCCTAATGGAAACCATTCAGGTAAGAAAGAAAAATAAAAACTTTTTACTTGGTATTTTATTTTATAAGAAAAGTTTCAAGTTCATCAGTGCTATGAAAATGTATGCAGTGTAAACATTTAACGTTTGCTTGCTATAAATTACGGTAGACCAATTTTGATAAAAACAGACTAAACTTTAAAAACTGTTTTCTGCTTCTACTTTGTAGCAATAATAGTATTAATAATAATGATTGGACGGCGCTACAAAATCAGATGCTAAAGGCGGTGGGGTTGGAGGTTAAATCAAATGTTAAAAATTGTTATTGATTGATTCGGTATATTTTTTTTATCTGATTTTCTCATAAAAAATGAATATATAGAGACCTACTACATACCATATTTTCTGTTTTAATTTAAATATTTTTTTTTTTGTTTGTACTTATTTTCTGGAATGAGTCCTTGAGTTTTTCTGATATAAAAGTTTTAGAAGCTAATGTTTCAAGATAAAAAAAAATGAAAAACGGAAAATGAAAATTTGATTTATTTTAAAAATGAGTGGTAGTAATTTTTTTACACAGTTGATACAGCTCAGCTCATTTAGCACTGTCATAGAATGTGGCAAGGCTCTCAGTTCCAGCAAAAGGAAAGAGCACCAAAGCACCTCCCCCATCCCCTTTAAGTGGATGTAATGATGATGATGATGATGATATTTTTAAAACGTCCTTAGGTACCCCACCAAAAAAATTTATCAGTTTTGTTCTTTTTTATAATAAAAAAACAAAACAAAACATAACAAGATTCAAATAGTAATTTTGAGATGAAAGGCAATAATGTACTGAAATTTTAAATATATTACTTTTTTTTAAATTCACCAACATCTACTTTATAAATTATGAAAAAAAATGTTATTTTAACATTACTGCTTCTATTATTTATTGATTTTTTTTTCTCCTTTTTAAATAATTTTTATAATCTTGGTAAAATGAAAGAATGGAAATATAGTTAAAAAAAAAAAATATACTGAAGAGGCAAATTTTATACCAGGAATAATTTTCAGGAAATCATTTGTGGAAAAGAAAAAGAAAAAAGTTTTATTTATCAAAAATATGAAAGTTTTCAATTCTGCAAATAATTTAATAAATCACTGGAATGAAAGCATAGTATCTGTTCTCTTCTCATTTGAGATGGGAGAAGGCACTCGGTTCTGGGGATTCCAAACCTGTGGCAGTACCTTTCTCATTGCACTAAGAGTGGTAGCATCAGATTAATATCAACGCCAGTGGCTGCAGAGACTTGGCAGTTTTTGTCCTTGGCTCATATACATACATGAAAAAGACCTTGTGTCACATTCTTCCTTAGTGAGGAGGTCAGGTAAATACCAAGAGAGATAGGGTTTGGTGTAATATTGATGCCAGTGTAGCGCGCATCACCACCATTATTTAACTTTGACTGAGAAAAGCATGATTAAGGACAAGCAAAAACGCTGGAGGTTACCAAACACGTAGCGGTCACAATGCAATTTATATTTTACGTAAAATAGCACATAGTATAAAATACAAGACAGAACGTAATGGTTCAAAACATAACAATTGAATTTATTAGTGTTTTGGTGTACGTGCATATAAGCTGAAGGTTTGATAGAGTTATGTCTCTTAGATTTGGAAATATTTGTACCAGAGCTCATAAAGTTGGATTAATTATTAAACTGTAGTTTAGAAGAATAAAGTTACTGTTGCATGTTAGGAAATGTGAATTAGTAAAGTTGGTAAGAGTTCAGAAGAGTTAAGAGTTTTATTTGCGTGAATTGGTAGTGTTCTTTAACATCTGACCACAGGGTCAAGACGGGAGTTCTTGAAGGTTGCATTTTGGCAGCAAGGAAGGAAACGTGAGAGAAAACGGAGAGAGAGAGCTTACACGTGTTTTGTTTATATAAGGTGGTTTATCATGTGACTAGCTCAAACTTTAGTGAGTGGGAAATTTCATTCCTCGTGTGCAGGATATTTGATTGGTTGGAATTAACCCTTCAGTGAGCTAGTTTTGAGGAGATTAACCAATGAATGCTTGTCGCATGATTTGTATGTATGTGATGATAATCATCACAGGGGAAGAGCGCATTTTCCCGCAGTGGGTAACTGGCAAATATGGAAGATTCCACACCAGCATGACAGTGATCACAAGAACTGGGCAATTTTTGTCCTTGGCCCATATGCATGTATATAGATATGAGCAGCCCACATAGAAAAAAAGATTTTGTCACATGCTACCTTAGTGGGGAGGTCAGGTAAATCACTTTATATATCATCATTTCAAGAAGCTAAAATAAATAAATAAAGAATCCGTTGCTAGGTCAGCTGCTAAGAAAGTTGGTTCACTGTGTGAGACAATTTTTCTCTCCGGAAATTTATCTTGCATATCTATGTCTAACATTCATCCATGCTAAGAATTGTAGTAGGATTAGGTAGTAATAACACCATACGAAAATATACACTTTCCTCTTTACTAAATGAGTGACAAAGAAAACTCTCTTTCCCTCTCTTCTATATATTTCCTTTCCTTCCTTCTGTTGTTCCTATCCTCAGTAACGGACATGAACCCGGACTTAGTTTATGTGGGTCAGTGAATATCATAAAATAATCAACCAATGACAACATGTCCCACCAAAAATCAAACAGGAAACACAGATGTGTCAGCCTCAATAAAAAGAAGAAAACCATGAGTACTAGTACAAGACTAGAGAGATGGCGCAGTGGAGAGCAACTTGATTCAAGGTAGCAGTTCAAGACACAAGGGTTGGTGATTCATTGGCTGTGAGTTTGACCTGACGTACAACTCCAGAAGAGAAAGAAGAAGAAAGAATGAATGCAATGAATTAATTTCTGTCAACCAGAAGGAACACAACAACCCTATATGAACTCTCAAATCACAAAAAAAGAACTATGATGATAGTCAACCATTTTAAAAACTGTAACCCAATGAATGGTACTATAGACAGTAAATTTGGCCTTTACTTTGTCTCTATATACCATAGAATAATGCTGTAACATAAACTCAGCCTTTTGACACATTCCATTCAAGTGAGTATGCAGATAAATATCTATGTGAGTTTTCACCCCAGTTGTAGTTGGTAATTGTTGCTGGAATCAAGTGACAACAGGTCTCATCAATACTACAAAACTCCTCTCATTGAGTTTAATGATGCTTTTGTCTAAATTGAATGCTTCCACATATTTCCAGTTTTTCTAATCTTTTGGTAAGGCTTTTGTCCTCGTTTTTATATTATTTCCCCCTAGTAAGGTGATAAAGCCATTAAGACATTAGACATTACTGAGAGCAAAGGAAATGGGGAAAATATTACTGAAGAGAAAGGACAATAATTCCTCAATCCAAGCTGCTATCCATTACTCCACCATATATATATATATATATATATATATATATATTAATTTAATTAAAATTAGAAAACAGATAACCTTAAGGGTCCATTAATTATATTTTATTTCCCCAAGAAGGTGTTTTTTTTTCTAGGTTCTTCAGATGACATTTCCAAGCCCCTTGGAATTGTGATCTGAAGAACCCAGAAAAAAAACCTTCTTGGGGAAATAAAATATAATCAATTGACCCTTAAGGTTGTCTGTTTTCTAATTTTAATTAAATTAATATTCACCCTGGTTGGACATTGAGCTCTCTGGATTACATCCTCCTTGGGATTATCCATGTGGATTCTGAAAGCTTTTATTACTAACTATATATATATATATATATATATATATATATATATATATATATAAGTGGACACCCAGAGGTGACAGTGTTTTATGCTTAAATGCAATCATCAGGCCATGGTCACTGACAGGACTAATGATTGTGTTTAAGCATAAAACAGACTGTCACCTCCAAATATTGACTTCAATGTCCACTTTTATATTTTTATATTTACATACACTCTATCCCTGATATTGAGCACTTTAACCCATAAATATATCATATCTTAAAACTATATCTCATCTCTCTCTCTCTCTCTCTCTCTCACACACACACACACACACACACACACACACACACACACACACACATATATATTAAATGTTTGATATATTTACTTCCAGTTCAATTTATATTTTCTGCTTACTACTTGTTTTTTCACTTACAGAATAAAGAAGCAAAACACTTGGTGCCTCCTATAGATGTCATGTGGATTACAGGATCTCAAGGAGGCGACTATTATTTTTCATTTGGTGGCTGCCACAGATTTGAAGCTTACAAAAGACTTCAAGCTGAAACAATTCCGTGTAAACTTATCAAGTCTACAGTCACTGACCTGAGAATTTACATGGGATCTTCAACTCCAGACTTAATTTGAGTCTAGTGTGTGTGTGTATGTGTGTATACATGTATTTATGCATTTTTGTGTATGATAAGCTAAAATATTCAGATACTGGTACAAATAAATAAATTTATAAATAAATAAATTGCTTACAATGTAAAAGCTCTTATATTGGTGAGACATCACGAAATCTTGTATCTATGAACATAAAAGGGATTTATGTTTGGATAACCATTTACACTTGCTCACAATACATAGGAACAAAACTGGCCATAACTTTGATTTTTTTTTATAAATGCCACCCTGACTAAAAAGAACATAATTCTTTAAATTGAAAATACTTTGAGGGATTACTAATAAATATATTACCAACTATAAATACATGTTAGAAACATTATATTACATCACCAACCTTTATTGAATCCATTCTTAAAAAATATAATGCATATTTTATCTAAAAAAAACCTAAAAGCATTATCAAATCTACCACCGAATATAATGTCTACTATACACACACAAACACATATACACACACTCTTATGAATATACATTATCATCTGAATCCCTCATAGACAAACTAGAATTATTATACATTTATATACACATAGCAATATTTATGGTTTTTCAGTTAGGCTTGGAATCCATTCATTTCTTGGAACTTCAGAAGGATGCATTGTCTCTCCTTGAATTCAGAATGCCATAAATTATACTAACTTTTGTTTAACAAGTCAAATGCACATGAAACCTCATTAACCAATGAGAATCAAGCAACACAAAAATAAAAATACCAGAATTTGTTTCTTCATATGTCATTCTCTGATGAACTTTAATAAAAGTGAAACATGTCAGATTGATAAACATTTTCTGTTTGTTCTTTATCTTATCATTCTGTTGTATTCTGATCCATATTTGATCTGTATTTGATTCCAATTCATTTGTGTGTATGTACAAGTAGTTATCTGAATTGTAATGTGGTTTGAGTAAATATTTTGTTATACCCTGTGATATAAGGAAAAAGACTTTCCTTCTGATGGTCATTCAACATCCAAAGTGTTTCTAATAATTTTAAACCTACAAGAACTTCCATCAAGATAATTTTAAAAAAATCTGTAATAATGTACACAAAGAAAAAACCAAAAGGTGTTTTGCTAAAGAATTTAAAAAAATGGTACATATGAAATGGTACATATAAAAGCCCTATTCTGTCAGTAATACTGACACCAATCCTTTACCGCATACAATCCCTTTCTTACTGAATATTCAACACATTTCTAAAATATTAGCAATACTTTTATATTATACAAAAAATAACCATATTCTGTCAATTATGCTTGCATTAATTCCTGACCATTGACAATCTGTGTTTGCATTTGCAATGCATTTATACTATAAAGTCATTTGCAACATATTTTGGGCACTTCGATGAGATGTAATGGTCAGCAAGATTATCTCGTTAGATCAATTACGACTGAATAGTGAGTTCAATCCTCATTGTGTGTCTTGTGCCACATTTAAGTTGGGCTTCAAAAATCAACATTTATAATGTGTTTATATAGTAAATCCATTTGCAATGCGTTTATATAGTAAATCCATTTGCAATGCGTTTATATAGTAAATCCATTTGCAATGCGTTTATATAGTAAATCCATTTGCAATGTATTTATATAATAAAGCAATTTGCAATGCGTTTATATAGTAAATCCATTTGCAATGTGTTTATATAGAAAAGCCATTAGTATAGGAGATAAAGAAATAGAACATAGAATAAGCTTAGATTAGTTTTGTCCAAAACCACAAGTTGCCACAAAATCAAGACATTTATGTAAAAACTCAATAGATGTTCATAAATGGCCTTGTCACATCAAGACTTTCATATGGATGCCATATTTGATACCACTTTCTCAATGATTAAAAATGGCTTTGAACAAATGAAACCTGTAGGTCTCAGTGAGGACTATCCTTTTTTGAACCTCATAGACTAGCATTATAGACTCACAAAGAATTATATCAAATAACAAAAATCAGATCACTTGAGGTCTTTAAACTGCAGCAACAACTAAAATGATAACATGGTGAGAGAAAATAATAATATAATCAAGATGTTGACATTGCACACAACTTCAAACAAAAGGTTAAGAAGGAAGCCACGATCAATAAGAGTGACAATAATTAGTGAAGTTGAGAAATATATTCTTCCTGAAAAATTGTTTTAGTAAAAATATTTTTTTATAAATTTCAACTGAAAGTAGCACTGGTCAATCAATGACAAAAGATTCCATATAAGAAAATGGCTAATATTACCATTAGCAATAAGAAGAACAGATACTACACTTTGATCCCAGCCTTTAGCCAGGGCATAAAGGAAAGCATAACTCAAGTCATACTGGCTGTACATCCAATGAATACTGAATGTTTCTATATAAGAAAATGGCTAATATTACCATAAAACTACAGAAAACCAAACTCCTAAGGATAAAAGATGTAAGTTCAAATCTTACCAGAGACTTATTCTTGATTTTTACTCCATACTGCTTAATAGCAATCCTGGGATGAGTATCTCTGAGTTACAATATAAAACAGCAGAGAAAAGAAATATTAATAACATATCATATAATTCTGCTTGCTTCTCTGTTAGTAAGTTTTGCATGTGTATTACACCATGCCATTGCCTCAGATAAATAATGAACCATTCTGCTTTGATTGCAAAGAAAGATGGAAGAAAAATATATCTCAGAGATGCTGTTTGATTTTAGTGCGAAAAAGAAAGCGTACATAATAAATTTTTTTTAACTATAAAACTGTTTGAAACTAATTTCCAAAACAAAACTGTTGTAATATACAGTTTTGTTTCAGTGAGAAATAGAAAGAAAGGGGAAGATAGAGGACTTGATAATGCTCTCATGTGTTTAACATCTGCTTCAGTGAAATGGAAAGACTTGTCAATTTTGAATCTTTTCATTTGTACTCTCTTACTTCTTTAAATAATGACCTGCATTCATACATATAATTATTATTGCAATATTTTGCTAAAATCGTTTTGTTCAAATATTTAACAATGCAATAGAAGAATTTCCACAAATATTTTATCATCATAGAAGTTGCAAGGGAGTTCATTCAATCATTAATTTAAGAATGAAAATTAAAATAGCAAAATTGTGAATTTTTCACAGGTGCTACTAGCTAACTGTTAATTTACCAACAGACATTTTCCAAAAGACAACAGATTCTTCCACTTCTATCAAATGGGAAACTTGAAAATTTTGTCAATTTTAAATCTTTTCATTTGTACCCTCTTACTTTACATAATGATCTACATTAATACAAGGCAATAAAAGAATTTCCATGAGTATTTTATAGTCATAGAACTTGCAAAGAACTTATTCAATCATTAACTTAAGAATCATAATTTATCAGAAAATTCAAATAGGAAAACTGTGCAGTTTACATGAGCACTGCTAATTAATAATAAAGAGTAAAAAGTACTATGGTTGTAAGTAAATTTCACTGTCATTTATCGCATGAAGTTGCTCCTTTTGCTAAAATAAAGAGTTATGTTATATATAGATGCAGGATTGGTGTGTGCTATCTTTGAAACCCACCAACTGACTGACGGCCCCAGGCAGTGCTTTGTGAGCCTTGCTATTTTATCAACATTAGCTTTCTTTCTACCTACATTTTTATGTAACAAATTTAAACTAAGCAAAACTGATTATTAAAGGATGAAAAATTTTTGTAGATTTTGAAGTCATTCTAGTTTTCTTTTTTTGTTTTTTCATCTAAATCCATGAATTTGTTTTGCTCAGTTTTTCTCGCCTGAGTCCATCCTTCAAATTTATAAATCAACCATTTGTCCTTGCATAGAATATTGCTGTCATATATGGTCTGAAGCCCCCACTGTTCATCTCAAGGTCCTCAATAAAATCCAGAGATGAATATGCAATGTGGTTGGTCCTGGTCTGGCATCTCATCTACAATCACTTTCTTACAGATGTGCCGTCACTTTCCTCTGTCTTTTCTACAAAATACTTTCATGGTAACTGCTCTAATGAGCTATTTTTGCTGGTTCCCAGACTGCATGAATTTAAGTGTGTTACTAGGTTGGCATTTCAGTCCCACCCTTTCACTGTATAAACAGTTAAATGTAGCCGTCTCTTCTACTCCAATAGCTTGATGTCTCACTCTTTCCATCTGTGGAACTCTCTTCCTCTTACTTGCTTCCCTGACAGTTATAGTCTTCAAATATTCAAATCTAATGTCGATCGACATCTTCTGATGCCTTGATCTAATTCCCCATTCTTCTCTTTATCCTTTCCTCAAACATGTCTCTTGACTCCTGCTCCCACTCTCTGTAACCCCTTGCATACTAGTGGTATTCCTGCCTTGCTTGGGGTGAAATGCGTAGAAAAAAAAAAGTATAAAAAAACAATATAAATTCACTATTTTTATCCAGAATGTTGAATGTGTTAAAATTATTCAACTTTTTAACAAGAAAAATCTCAAGTTGATGTTAAAAATTGCCTCAAAACATTATTGATTTATGGAATGAGTTATTATGACATATCTTTAATTTGTATTTAGATACATTGTATTTATTTTTAATTTTTCTAGTTGAATTTTTCACCTATATTGCATACAATCCATTATTGTACATAATTTAGTATTAAAACTTCCTATTGAAAGGTTATTGTTATAACACACACTAGTACTTGGTAAAACATAATTCGTTAAGTATTCCCTATACATAATGTTTAGGCTATTGCCATAATGCTTTTATAGTTAGTATGAAGACTGACTCCAATAAGTTTATAGAGAACTCAATGGGTAGAACCCATTTCAACTGCAGGTGGAACAGGTCAACTTATTAAAACACATGTTTACATTAGCTGAAGGCTACCAGTTCAATACTTGTACTGAGTAGTAAATATACATTTGACCTATTTAACAACTTAACACATGAGATCATTG